CGGCGGGACTCGGAGGAGTCCCGGTGCCGCTGCGCTGTCCCTGCGGACACAAAGTACGGATCGTTTCGGGCTAATGGGCAAGACCTGGTGCGCAACGCCAAGGTTCCCGTACCTGACTTGGCCACCGCGCCGCGACTTCATGCGTTTTAGCGCAGAATCGGAAGAAAAACCCTTTCTGGGCTTACGCTGCGCGCTCCCCGCGCCTTTTGTCGGCGTTCTGTTCACCACGCAGCCTGCTCGAGTCACGGGACATTAGGAATTACAGCGTGATACACCTTCAAGTAGCTTTCATGATTAGATGCTTTTATTAAAAAGTAAATTCTGCAGTATTCTTTAACTGGCTTTTTTATTTACCTAGGGGGAAAAAAAAAAAAAGTAACCAGGGTGTGATGTCTCTTCTGGATAAGCCGTGATCTTTTTGTTTATGCAGAGTTTTATAGACAATCCCATTTTTAAAGCAAATTGGTTAACTTAATCACCTTTAACATGACAGTGTTGGCTTTAAGTGCGTTCTGGACGTGCAGTTCACTGCGTGCTGGGCTCCCCAGGCGTGTCCCGGGAGGGCTGGCAGTGCTGCACACGCCGCCCCACAGGACGGGGAGCGGGACGTTCGGCGTTCCTCTCCAGGGGCCGGCCCCGCTCGGCAGCAGTTACTCCTCGGCACTTACTGAACGTGTTCGGCAAAGTCAGCAATGCATGACTGAGGAACGAAAGGGTTCACAGGCAGATGGATACTGCCTTGCTTTCTCTAGGAGACAATTTCCAAGGTGCCAGCAGAAAGAAAAGTAACTTAAAACACTGATAAGACCTCGCTTCTCTACCCTCAGGGCCTTCTCTGAGCAGCCGTGCCCTGTGCTGGGCACTTCCATGACAAATGTTTCAGCAGACACTCGGTTCACTTCATGGGGCTCAGAGTAAAGTTACAAAGTTTTTTAAAGAGTCCCTTTCCTTTCCCCCTTGTCTTCAGCTCTGTATTGATTAAGAGGCATTGAAAATAGCTCCACACTGACTCTTCTCATCAACACTGGAAACACCTCCTGAGTTCCCACAACTGAGAGCTTCATTCCACTGAGAGCTGTACGCTTTCAGTCTGTTTTGGTGGCTGCTGCTGCTGCTGTTCGTACTTCCTCGCTGAAAAAAAGAAACACCAATCAACACTGATTATACAGTTTATTACATACATGTGTATATGTGTGTGTGTGCAGGTATACATATCCACAGATATTCACACGTAAATGAGATAGCAATCAGAAACAGATTTAAGATTAGAGAATCTCATTTCACAGCTCAGCCACAGAAGGGGAAGTTTCAGTCACCACGTGGAACTGGTCCTTTAGCAGATGGCCTTGGAAAGGCCAAACAGTAGGGTCATAGCAAAACACTGGTAAATTAATGGCAGAGAACTAGGATTCCATTCAGGGCCTTTCATTGTAGAAAAAAAAAATAAAATTAAAGACTATGGCTTCAGAAGTATTATTACAGATGACCTGAATGACTCAGTTACAGTTGATCTCCCCCATCACTCATCTCCTTCACAATGTACAAGCCACAAGCTGACAACTACATTGACTTGAAAATTAATCTGGTTAGCAAGGCAAAGGGAGATCAAAGAGTGGTGTTTGTGTGGTGGAATAAACACCAGGAGTGAACGCTAGCAGGCATTCCTCTGTAGGAAGCACATTCATTTTTTGTTCTCACAGAATGTGATGGTCCAGTTTAAGAATCTCTACATTCAGTGTTTACATTTAAAAGGTGGTTTCGACTCATTAAGCATTTCTTACCCATATTCCCTCTCCAGACATGCATGCATGGCAGACGTGAAGCAAGTACTGGTGTTTCTCTGAACTGGACCTCTGGAACGTCAGAGGCTTGGGGCTCTTTCCTACCTCCATCCTGACCTTTGACATTAAAGATGGTAGTGGCAACACTTGTTGGTACAGTAAAATTCTCATTTATTTTCAACTTACAAAATTGAGTTACTCATGATTCCACAGCCCTCTCGACTTTTTCAAATCCATCAATGTTTTGACAACATTCAGACAGCCCAGCTCTTTTTAACTTCAACACCGGATTCGTTTCGACAGCTAGAAGCGAGTCGCAGGCCGGTGCCTCGCTCCGCACCTCCTCACGCCTGGGTCGTCTGCAGCAACCCTGCTCACGCCGTGCCACGGGAGCGGGCCCCGCGCTGGTGCCCC